TGGAATATAACGTAACATTTTGAATATTAATTAACCTATTCAAAAAAATTGAGGTGGGCGTGGCACTTCCGGGTTAAATTTCTCATTATTGACATTTTTGGCCAGGGGCATAACTCGCAAAGTATACATTTATTCAAAATGGAACTTTGCACACTATTACCTCAAATTTTGAGCCATTTTGTCTTAGAATTTCAATTGTTTTTGCTTCATAGTTCAAAAAAAGGAACAGGTTTTGGAAATTCAAAATTTTCAATTTTTGACCTTAACCTTTGTTGACCTTGACCTTTGTAGGATCAAACGTCATTGGCATTGGCTATTTATTTATACTTTTATATTTGCTGTCCTATGTCAACTTCCGGTTTTATAGTTGTTAGCAATTTGAAATTTTAATGGCGTATATCTCTTGATCTTGACCGTTTTAGACCTTCTCCTTTACAGGATCAAAAGTCATTGACCTTGGCTATCTGCTGATACTTTCATTTGTGAGGTCTGACGTCTACTTCCGGTATTAGAATCTTCTAAAAAATAAAAAATTATCAACTTTAGACTTGTTCTTGCGCTTGACCTAATTATCGTCGATGGTTGATTTTTTCGGGGTCTTTAGCAAATTGCTACATTTGCAAAGTCCCACTCTGTGCCACGAGTGGCTCTAGTTTTATTATTGTTTTGGAGATTATGCCTTAGAGCTTATTTGAATGATCTATGAGAAGTTAGGATTGGTTTGATTAATATAAGAATGAATATTCATAATACCAAGCTTTGAGCCAATGACCGATGTCTTAACATTTAACATTTGGTGCTTACTCACTAAGCCTATTATTTGAACAATAGTGTGAATAGACAAATATGGATTCATCTGGACAAAAAGCTCTGAATATTTGTCCAGTGTTGTCTCTTACCCGTACTATCAAATGTACAGATTCTTTTATGTAAGCTATACAAACCTTACACTTGTCAATCTCTCAGGAATGTTTGTGTTGTTATTTTGATATCTGTCATGAATTATTGGTTTATCCAGAAATTCAATACAATTTAAACTTAATGCACTTCCTATTGTTAAAAATCTCTGTAGCTTCACAAAAAAATACAATTTTTTAAAATTTAAATGACAATTGCAGTTCCTTGATTCTCATTTTATTAGACACTGCAAGTAGAACCATTTGTCAATGTACCTCATCATTTCATTCAATTGTTTTATTCTTCAGTGCAACTTTCATTCGAAACAACGCCATATCACGGGAAATATGGAAATTTCAACGTTATACCTTGATTATTGAATATGAAATGAGACCAATATTACCCCCACCTCTGATTATTTTTAATCATATGTATTTAGCTGTGAAATATCTACGTAGAAGGTGTAAAGGAAAAAGAGAGTACTTTGATAATGGTCTAAGTAAGTACTAATATAGGTCATTCTCTGTCATTTAGTTTTCAGTATATGTCACAACTCTTGAGAGAAGGAAATGAACAGCCTTTTGTTTGGTTATTGAATTAGTAAGAAAGTTCAAAACTCAAAGGAATATGTAGAACAGAATCCTGGATGCCTATTATATTGAATCTAATAATAACTCTTTGATCGAAAAATATTTAGTGTGTTTTCCATGATATTGTTAGTACTATATTTTTCTCAAATTAATGTATTGAACACTGACCTTTTTATACGCCCACATGAAATGGGGGGCGTATATTGCCGTCACCCATGTCCGTCCGTCGATCCGTCCACAATTGCTTGTAAACACTCTTCAAGACACAATTCTTGATGGATTTTAACAAAACTTGGTATGAGTGTTTGTAATCACTCAAGGATGAACCCTATTGAAAATCAGAAGAATCGAAAAATATTTAGTATGAGTTATTGCCCTTGTTCTTGAAAACGCATTCAATTTTTAGCTCGTAAACACTCTAGAAGGGACAATTCTTGGTGGATTTGGACGAAACTTGACATGAGGGTTAGTTATCAACCAAGGATAAACCTTATTGAAAATCAGAAAAATCGAAAAAAATTTAGTATGAGTTATTGCCCTTGTTCTTGAAAATGCGTTCAATTTTTAGCTTGTAAACACTCTAGAAGGGACAATTCTTGACGGATTTTGACGAAACTTGGCATGAGTGTTTGCCACCACCCAAGGATAAACCCTATTGAAAATCAGAGAAATCGAAAAATAATTAGTATGAGTTATTGCCCTTGCTATTGAAAACTTGGTTTTATTATTCAGTCCCGCGCTGAAGATTGAATATTTGCCTTCTAAAGTTTTCACGAGCTAAAAATTGAACACTTTTTCAAGAACAAGGGCAATAACTCATACTCAATATTATTCAGTATCGCCCTAAAGAGTTCAAAAGAAGTGTATGACTGAAGGTTGAATATTTCATACTGGTGATGGTTACTTTACTGCTAAATATTTGTATTCAAAATCAAAGCTGCCAGTGGGCGTATATTACCCTTCCCGGCAAGCTATCTTTATGATTACTGTTATTAATAAATATTACTATATATCTTAGGTGTCATATATTGCATATTTTATTTTGGTAATAACCTTCTTTTTCAGAATTATTTTTATCACACGAAGACACAGAAAAACTGCATGATTTTGAAGAAGAATGTGTAGAAGATTATTACAGAGAAAAAGAATTAAAATTTCAGGCTTCTTCAGAAGAAAGAATACGTCTGATTAGTGAAAGGTAAAGATATTTTTGGCATATATGTGTCACTAGTATAACTGGTTTTGTTTATATAGAGCATTTTGAATTATTACCTGATTTTGTAATCTGTTGTTTTTTGTTATTTAATTCTTCTAAGGGATTGGCTATAACACCTGCAGATGGGACTTATATAAATGTTATTTTTTTATGAGTTCTTTTGGTAGTAAAATTCAAAGCAACACTTAATGAAATATTATATGAAAAGGGAAACACATGAATTAAATCTTGAATTATCCAGTCCTATTTTATTAAATCTACTTTGATTTAAAACAGTTGTACTTTCAATATATTTTCTGTATTAGACTATAAACAAATCATTAGAGAACTGCATCTTCTAACCTAGCTCAGGGTCTTGTGAACACACAATTAAAACATTTAGATACACATAAATCTTGTTTGTATCCATCTGAAAAAATTTTTTTTCCTTTCATTCATATATTCATATAAAAGTCTTTCAGAAAAAAAGTTTTATTTAAAGGGAGAGATTTGCCATTTGTTTGACCAACCAATCATACCTTAATCTCAGAAACGGGAAATGTTTTACCTTAGCTAATCAGTGATAGTGTTCACAGCTCACTGTCAATATTTGAACCTTTAGATCCATGTGTGTCTAGAATTTTCTGCATTGGAAAGTTAAAATGACAACCCTGGCTATAAAAGTACCTAAATCAATGTAATTGACAAAGTTTTATCCTTTTAGCCATTTCCATTCCATACTTTTGGTATCTAGATATGTGAAGTTAAAATTAAAATTATCTAGTTCAAAGTCTAATAATTATTTGAATTTCTTCAGTATTGATGATATGCAATTTCTGTAAGTAATCTTGGATCAGGGTTCTGTGTGCATCCCATTTGATCAATTTGAATTCCATTTCTCTGGGCTGCTTGTTGAATCACATCACTGGAAAAAAGTAGAAGAGAATTTAGTTGATGTTCCCTCATTCATTTTCAGTAACCAAAACCCACAGTAGATTAATACAATTTTGGGTTGTGGTATAGTTTTTTGGTAGAATTTGCTTGTCCTGCCTTTGTGGATGTGATCTTTGTGATCTTTCATTTAAGTTCCATGCTGTGTGGTTGTATTATGATTTGTTAAAGAGTTGGTTTCCTACATCAAATTTAATTCAATTCAGGGACAACATTGGTCAAAAGTTTCTGGCATTAATAAATAACATAACATTGCTTAACATAGTGACATTACTAAACATAGTGGTGATAGTATAAATTACTTGACACAAAAAAGGGAAATTTGCAGATTTTTGATGACACATGTTAGTTTTGCCTCACATGAAGTTAAAGTACCAAAGATATAATATAATTACTTTTTGTGCATGTGAATTGAAAGATATGGAAGTATAAGGTGAACAATTGTAAAATATTATTTTTTGTATTTTTTCAGATCTGAGAATATGGCCTTGAAAGTGGATGACATGAATCAAAAAGAAAATACCATCAAACTTTCTCTTCAAACTGTTGATTATCGCTTGACAAAATTGGAAGAAATTGCATTACAGACAACAGAAACTCTGAGTTTAATGCAACGTATGATGACACGTAGAAATTCTGTACATAGTTTAGGAGTTCCTGGTAATAGTTTCAGTCACAATTCTCTAGAAGATATTCCTACAACACTCTCACTATCTATTGATAGTAATAGGAATGCTAATGATGTCACAGACTCTTTAATGAGGAGTCAACCTTCGCCAATTTTAGTTCATTCAAAACGTCCAGTTCAACAAGATCAGCTACAGAAATTTACTAATTACAGTCGTGGTCGGCATCTAAGTGGGGAAACATATTCACAGATGCCATCAGAGGATAATAGTGATGATATATCATTTGTCTCAAATGATTCTCCAGGTATTACTTATTCTTCTTCTCCACATGAAGAGTCTAGCAATAACAATAACTCTGGTAATCTTTTACAACGACGACAAGGACCAACAAAACTTTCTTTGACCATCAAATCTAAGTTACGCAAATCTGGTGAATCTTCTAGTCCAGGACCAATTGTCTCAGTTTCAGATCAGGATACTCCCAAATCTTCTAAATTAGAAACTCCCAAAAGTCTAGAAACACTGAGTAGTACACCTCTTGAAACTCCTAAATCAGGCAGCACTATGGAGGGAATACCAAAAGTTATGTTTACTACAGCTAAAATCACAACAGAAACCAATACTGCTACCCTAATTACAGAAAAACCAGATAATTTGTGTTTACCTGATGTTAAAGTGTCAAAAAATGGTGCACAAGCATCTCCAGAGGTGAATCCACTGACTCCATCTAGAAGTTATGGTATGAACATACCCACAAGTTATATATCTCCTGACCCCTCCCTTATTCCCCAGTCAGCAGTTAAAGATCTCACATCCATTCTGACCCCTCTCAATTCAGAATATACCTCCATCACTGATGAAATAGACACTTCTTGTATCAAAGATAGAAGTCCCCAACGAAGTCCCACAACTGCAGGTGTCTTCTTTGGTGACAATTACCCTTCAGTGAAAAAATGTGAAACTCCTGCTTCAAAATATGAAAATGCACAATTGAAACAGGCGGAGGAAGTTGGAAAATTGAAAATGCATCGATTGATTCGACAAAGATTGCGTCAAATCTCACAAGATGAATCTGATAGTATAAGTGATATGGCCAAATTAGCTGTGTCAGAATTAACCAATGAACAAACTGATCTACATGATCATGATGAAGATGAAGAGATTGAAGATGAAGTTAGTGAACCAGTTGTTGAAGAAGTTACAAGTTATTTTGAAGCCATTGAAATCAAGGTTCATTCAGCTAGTATGGAAGAACCTCAACCTCCAAGTCAATGTTAACCTATGTGACCAATCACTGTTGTTGAATAAACAAACATCTGTAATCAATAATGATGTAGTTTATTGTGTAAGATGTTTTACCAGAAATTTGATTTTGACACTGAATTTCAATTGCACAGATATTTTTTTTTCAATTTTTGGTTTGTTTTCGATTCTTGCAATTAAGAATTTTAATACATGAATGACTTTTTTTTTATTTTTAATTCTCTTTTTTTTTTAAGAGACAAAACAATTTTTGGGGAGAGGTGAAAGCCGTACATTTTTTCTTTGTTTTATTAATTAATATTTATAATTCAGTGGATAAATTTAATGTGCAATTTATTTTGTAAATAGTATTGTATATAAGTATTCACTTTGGTGATAGAATGGTGTGCAAAATATGAGGGGATTGAGCAAAACAAACCTAAAAAAAAGAAGTCTACATATATTTTCCAGATTTCCAGATTGTTTTATCAATCATGTTCTGATGCTACTCTGATAAAGGTAGTGAGATTGTAAAATTCAGAAATAATACTACTATGTTATCAAAAAAGGTGTACAAATGTGTAATAGAATAGGTTTGAAAAATAAAATATGTTTGTGATGCTCCATCTCCTTCAGTAACTTTTCATTATTTAGAGAATGAAAGACTGTGTTCTTCTTTGCAAAATGGTTCATATTTATACTAATTAGTGCTGTACAGGTTTTATTGTTTCATTATGAGTATTTTATTGTAAATAATGTTTATATGATTATTTTGTTCATTTGAGATGAATATAACATGTGCTTTTTGCCATTGAACTGGTCAATGTTCAGAGGAGACAGTTAGAGAACATGTTATGGTTATATATTTATTGCCACTGACATAGGAACTACCATTTTAGATTCCATTTTAAAAGAAGCTTTTCCTATTCATGAAATGTAATGAAAATTGAATTTAAAAGACTTGTGGTCTTGATATGTGGCGAAAGTGTTGATCATTTGCATACTAGACATGATGTTCATATGAGAGACTGCATTTATTCTCCTTTGATGCACAAAAGAACCCATTTTGTCACATTAATAGGACATTTCGTACCCTTCATGGTCTAAAAACTAATGAACACTTGCTCCAGAATCAGAAAGTTTCAACAATAACTATGGGAATACTTCAGTGTATTGTATCATTCTAATCATTTTTGAATAATATGTCCTCTATATATATCATAGAAAAACATGTACTAGCATATATTTGATATATTGACATGTAATTAATAATACACTTTACATAAAACCAAACAATTGTGAAGGATAAATTGTTCCAAACTATAAAAATGAATTCATTTACTGGATTTTTTTTATACATTTTGTATGAATTGTTAAGAATAATTATAAATTGTTTTAATTTGTTTTATTATTGTATATATGTATAATTGTAAATATATTATTATTATTGTTAAAGGCCAAACGAATCTTCAACTTTCAGCTTGAATACTGTCCCCGTTTCAAAATTTTTAATCTGGTGTTTAGTTTATATTACTGGCTATGAGATGACATCTTTTTGCAATTGATAAGTGTTACAGTATATACCTAACTTTACTGAAATTATTTCATAGTCAACCTGAAAGTCTCGATTTCTAATACATGTCTATAATTAACAATTTTACCATTTATATATCTGACAGTCTTACTATTTATATTAAATTCTGTGTGAGATGAAGAAAGACTAGGTTTTATTGATTCAGAAATCATACTTATAGATAAGAAATTGTTTGGCCTCACTTAAAAAAAACCAAGATAAAACCAAAAATTACTTTTATCCTACTTTTTTTAATCTCTATTTTTAACCTTTTTTATTTTATCACATATCACTATGATTATACAGGTTATCAAAAATTTTTATAAAACATTTTGAAACCATTCCTCACCAAAGATTAATTGAAAAATGGAAATTTATTTTAGAAAAAGTTAACTTTGATCAGTTTTTCAAAATGTATAAAAAGCTTTGAAGTATTTAATACCAAGGTTGGTGGTTTCTTATATCTACCTTTATGGTAAAATGGAATATTTTATATTTGGGGAATAAATTGATTTTATGGGAAGGCTTACTATTGTAGAGGCACAAACTTTATTTGTCTTGCACCATTTAGTTTTACACTTTTCATTATTAGAATGGGTATCATTGGTATTAATGGAAATTTATGCAGATGTATTTTCATGAAATAAATCGTTTTATCACAAAATATTACTAGAAAATAAATTTAATTTTACCTACACATACTTTGTTTTTGTATACAGTAGTAGTTTTAGGAAGAATCATTGCCAGCTGTCAAATTCAAAGCATCTGGGTATTTTCAAAAGCCTTGATTGCTAGTTACTAAAGGTACTGCAGACTATCAAAGGTCCTTAAATCCAGCAAATATTGTACTTTTTTTCTACTTATTTCAAATATTTGCTGTGATCACATTGTAAAGGTGTGTACAGCCTTATTATTGTCCCATGTTGCTCATGAAAGCAGACAGGAATAGATTTTGATATGATTTCCAGTTGCATTATGAGACATTATTTCAAAATTTGTTGCCAAAAATATCAAAAATAAAGAAGTAGAAGTTGCTATATATTAAGAGTAAAATATATGTACTGAATATCATTGCGGGGTATTGACACTGTAACAGTGTAGAACATAATGAAATAGCTAATTAGATCCTACACCCACATGAAAAGAGATTAAAGAATACATAAAATATCTATATTTTACACGAATATTAACTAAGATTCTCGAGAATCCATATAAATATGTTTTATGGCCAGCTGCATTGTTTTAACGGACCCTAGTATTTTATCAATAATTTGAAGAACGATATAGATCACTAATCAGAATAGAATATATCGTCGAACAATATTCAAAACTCAACACTGATTCATCTCATTTGTTTATTCAAACATGCTCAGAAATAATTTTATGTTTTAAATTACAAAATATTATTTGAAAGTGTTAAACATTGAAAAACTGCAGTTTATAATATACACACTAAATATAGGAAAGAAAAGATTTCTACAGAACTACAATTTGGCCTTTTCTTTACTAACACTACGGGTTTCTTGGGTCACTTTCGATTTTTTAACCCCGGCTTTTGGGTTTTTGCAGTATCGACTTCTTTTGGCTGCAATTATAGCTTTCTTTACGGTTCTACTCAACACAATTACTGTGGATTTATCGTCCAATTTTAAAATCTTTTTCTTCTGTATATCAGCCATTTGATCGTTCTCCAATAATATCAACACTTTCGACTCTGGAGATAAAATAAGAAGCAATGATTAGGGTGAACAAAACAACTGAACTGCAGAGAAATACTTGTAAGCTCCCTACATGTTTGAAGGAAATGAATAGAGTCCTATTTCATACTATTTCATACTTTACTGCTTCATACTTTTCTGCTTCATACTTTTCTGTACCTAACGGGCTAATGAAGACAGTGGATGATAAACACTGTGTAGCATTGTGAATGTCGCCACATCTTCTGAGACTGAGCGAATGAGAAACAAAATTCACAGTAATAGCACGTCGATGTCTGTAATTGTTAGCCCAATAATACAGAGCTGAGACAACACATATCATTATTATATTTGATATAAGCCAGATGATCTGAGACACACACTTATTGTTCAATACAAGACACCAAGTACAACAAAGTTCGGTATTACAACTTACTCTTTCTGATATCTCGTAGATAACAATGACAACCAGCGTGTATCTTAAATCTCGTACTTAAATTGATGATAGTTTTCTTATTTGGCATAAAATCTCTCATTAACCTCAATTTATTACCTTTTAATACCATAGATGAATATGCTGAAATCAAAGTTTATTATCAGTTTATTTCCAATGGGTCAAGATGCTTTTCTTTCCTTAAAATGATGATGAGTTTGAGTTTTTGATTGGTGCTTCCAGTGACAATATCTACCTCTACAATAATATGACTTGGTAGACAATTTCCCAATTCTTAAGTTTGTTTTCTTTGGCAGCAAAACAAGCTGTTTTAAAGTCATTCTGTACTCACCTACAGCCGATTTGCATATTCTAGAGATCAATTCTTTCAGCGATAGATCTTTACATACTGGACACTTTCCCTGTAATGTTGATGTCTTGTTTAGTTAAAGCCCACAAGATGCAGAAGAGTAGGACGTAAAACTCCATTCATTTCATTTCATTTTGTTTAGTTAGAATAGCATTATGTTTTACGTTTGTATAAATATATAGATGTAGTGTTTAATCAGTTAAAGAAACTCATTATAATCTATTATCTCATGAAATACGATTTTACTATTTATTCACATTATAGCATGGCTTACCTTGACTGGTGCTGCTGTGGTAACTTCCGGTGATAATGTGGTCGACAACGGTAGCAAACTATTATCTATAAGATTTCTCACATATAACATATTCTTCGGTATAGTTTCGAACTCTATTTCCTCTGGAGAGCGATTATCTACTGGCTGGTCTTTAGTAGCTTTGGGTGGTTGCTTTCGAGTAGTTGCGTTACAATCCGGACCAAACTCATAGAAATCTTGAACTATCAAATCTAATATGGGAAATAAATAAAGCAAATTGAGCGGTAAAACATTCACAACTCCATATATTTTCAAACTGAATTTGCGAAATAGTTGTAACTTTGTGGCAAGCAGCTCGGCTGTGACTAAATTACGGCTTGTCCTTAATCATGTACAACTAACTACTGGACTGACCTGGTTCGTAGTAATCGTAAACAGAAACATAGGCTGGTTTCAGATTTTTCACTTCCAGTTCTTGTACCATATCAAACTCAAAACAAACCTTATCATGGTTAATCTAAAAAAAAGAGTCCTTTTCATTAGTCGTAGGCTATTGTGTAGGTTATGTCCATAACTATGTAAGACTATTTTCTTCAACTCCAGTGACTCCAAGAACCTCCGTTGTAATGATGTACTATTTTGGTAAAAGTTATCTGAGATATCAAGTAAGGAAGCATTGTATTGCTGTTTAATTGGATGCTGTAGCTACCTCGTCAAAGTAGAAGTTCAGGACATCTGGTCTGTTATCATCAATTTCAAATCTCTTGAGGAACAGAACAGTAGACTGTTGAAGCTGTAATGGAAAAGGATTGCCATCAAAATGCTCTAAAAAAAATCAAGCAATGGACCTCTGAGATTTAGAATGAAAACATGACTTGCGTCTTACAGACAGCGTCATGTACTGTTTAATTACATCTTTTCTGACATCCAAATATTGTTGTATGGTAAAGCCCTCCAGACCTACATCATTAACAGGGGGTGAGGATTGACAATTTCTGATAGAACGATGTCGGTTTAGGTACAGTGGTGCTCTCTATAGAGTTATCTATCTTTATTGCCGCCAATTGGAAGCCTGAAAATACGATTTTCTGCGGTCTGAGGACCTTCTCTAGAAAATTTTGAGAAGAAGACGTCTGGACGCCAATCAAGGGGAGCAGTTTAGGTACAGTGGTGCTCTCTATAGAGTTATTGCCACCTGATTTCTTCCGAGGACGCCAATTGGAAGCCTTGAAATACGATTTCCCGACATTTTCTTGTATATTAAGAAATTTTGAGAATTTGACGCATGGTAAAGAAAATTCCTGACATTTCCCAGCAAATTTAAGGTTCAAGTTTATTTGTATTGTGTCTGAGGGATCTCACCAATAAAATTTTGAGAATTAGACGCATGGAAACGTAATTTCCTGACATTTCCCAGCGAATTTTAAGTTCAAGATTATTTGTATAGGGTCTGTGATATGCCGCTTAGAAAATTTTGAGAATTAGACGCACGGAAACGCGATTTCCTGACATTTCCCGACGAATTTAAGGCTCAGTATTTTTTGTGTTATAGCTTAACAAAGACTCCCATTGACTCAGTAAAATGAATTAATGTATTTGAAAATAACAATTGACCTTTTTTTAGGTGGGCTAGATTGTATTTGGCTACGGGCCTGAGGGGGTGGTTATAAACTTTGCTGACATTGTCTTAATTCTTAGACTACACATACTTGCAAACAGAACACTGTGACACGATGTAAAACACGTGATTTTATAATTCAAGCAAACCATATAAAAGCAGGCTATGTTTAAATCAATGATATCGAGAACTATTTGTTAAGGATTCATTACTGAATGAGTAAGATAACTAGATATGGAAGTACTGGAAGCCTTAGTATTCTTGTCAATATAACCAAATCTCAGTGACACCGAGTCTCTTTTCTGACACAGAAACGGACAAATTGCTTGAAATGCATTCCTAGAAGTGCATAAAAGATTACCAAGATACAAAAAAGAAGATTTGTTTGTAAGCCGGCGATGCCTGTAAAATATGTTCCCTAATTTCGACAAGCTTCTAACTGCGAAATTTTGGCTCTAGTGATAATACACCTAGAAATATGCAAATTCACATTGGAAATGGTATAAAATGAATGAAGTTTTACGTCCTACTTTTCTGCACCCTAAATTTACATTGGAGAAGTAACCAAGAAAATTTTGTTTTTTCCGTTTGCGTTGTCTTACCACTGTAATCTAATCTTAAATGCCACAGTGAAGAGGCATCCATGCAACACTGAAAAACTGTACATACTTTATTAACTGTATACATATCAGCTGTCCAGCCAGTAGGCATCTTGACTACTATTACCGCCATATTTGATGCATTCCGTTCACCGAGGTAACTATAAAATGAAAACAAAGCCAGCATACTTGAAAGTTCGAACGAACTAGGTACTATCGATAGTGTTCTCATGCAGTTATCATATAAAATCGTTCGTAATCATTGAACGTTGTGTGACAGATGTAGCTCTCTAAGTGCGCGAAGTTCTATCCAACAGCTTATTCTAAGAAATTCTTTTTTTATGGGTTTCCAGGAACACTGGTATAGCTCAGACAGTGACTCTTTTCCGTGTGTTGGGAGAGCAGGTTATTTGGATATGTTCACCGCCCCCCTCTCTCCTATGAGAGCCACCGATAGTCAACTATCTGTTGGTTCTTATCCATATAACTGTTATAATTTACCGCTAAAACAATATCAGATAACACACCTGGAACATATCTTAAGTCCTCTCCTCTTACAAACGTTTGGTTTGAAAATGGGGGATTGGACTTCAACATTTAGATAAAAAGGCTCTACAGGTTCTCTTTCTTCAATCATATTATATCTTACTGTAGCCTGCAATACAAATAAGTTCATTAATTTTTGGTTTTCTTAAATTTGAATTATTTCCAGCAACTCATGCCTACTTCATTTGAATGACTGAATTCATCTTTTTCATAGTAATTCCACGAGAATCGATAATATTTGGGTTCACTTTCAATTTATTTTATGTAACATTGTAAATGAAGACTGATCACATTTTCAATCTCAAACGTCTGGTGGATAAGTGTTTACCACACAAAGTCTGTATCGGGGGTGTCGTTTTATTAAGTTATCTCTGGACGAATTTGTTTTCGCTTTATATTCTCGACTTGGCAGCCGGCAAATATCTAGGTTATAAAGTTAGTTTCACTTGCCAATTGTCTGTCTTATGATTGGTACTGAAAACCAGGAAATAGGACAGCTATAAGTGGACAATATTCATATTGAATCGTGTTTGATTGAATAACAACTTTCAGAGATAACAATGATACTCCACAATGATTACTATACTAATTCGCACGATTCTATCATCAGCATTTCTAAAGATTCGCGGAAATTGAATTGCCCAATAGAATGTTAATCTAGTGCTCTTACTGGTTTATTGTGGTATAAATAAATCTATTTAAATCTGTTATTTTCAGAAGCAAAATTAGTGGAAATGTATAAAATGTATATGAGGCTTTTTCTAAAAGAAGAAGAACCTTGGAAATCGAGCCTTGACAGATTCCCAATTTTGGATCCAGCAAAACCAAAGCCTTTCAACCGCATGAAGGCAATTTCAAAACAGATTCAGTCGCAACAGAATCGGGAGCGTTTCTGTAATACTTTAATGCGCGCCAAGTTGATATCATTTTGATTTCAATGCTGAAACGATCAAGGTAAACACAACAACGATCAATTTGCGTTATATTAGATTGGGTTTTTCACAGCTAAGAAATAATATTCTTTTGTTTAAAAGTGCATGAAATGCCAAGTTTAATAACTGATAAACCGAATCGAAAAGAAGATTTACTAAAACTCTATCTAGCGAAAAATAAAGCATACAAAATGGCTCCAATTAATTACTTCTAAAACAGTAAAGCAAACACGATTCACTGGCGGATTTCAATAAGCAACTACGATCTATTTAAGACATTAGATTAAGAGACAAAGATAATATTGAGATAGAAATATGTCATATTATGTTACTGAAACCAATATACTATATGAAACAATACTGATGTTTACAATCACATTGGTCCGATGTGAAATGGGACTCCCATTATACCATACATTTATGGTATATTTTCAGATAATAAACATTCCGTTGCTGTTACCTCACTAGCACCACTGTAACTGCTAATAGCAGTCATCAAAAAGACGAAAATAATCAAAGCACGACTTTCAAACTAACTGGTCATCATGCCTAACACGTAATACACCAACCATCTATTATACTTACCTGCAATACACTGCAACCTTTTCCTTTTGCCATCACTGTTATGGACGTTGGAAAGGCAATAATTGGAGTAGTGAGCTGAACTAAAGCATTTGTTTGGTTTATGTCAAAGGTTTTGGCATAATCGAAGGTATCGATGAACACGTTCTGTGATGGTGACCCTTTAAACATCAATGCAGCATACCCTGATAATGCTTGAAGCGCTACTATCGTGTCCTGAAATAACGGTAATGAGTCTGTTATTGTTAAAAAATTTAACCTTCATCTTTATATTCTTCAAAAATGTACCAATAAACCCAAAATTATAATGAATAAATCTAATCGAGATGTATTACTAATTAAAATTAACGTACCAGTACTATTTATACAACCAATAACTTTAAACCAAGTCATTGTCAGTTTTTAAACTTAATTTACATCTTTTAATACTATAGCCTGAGCAAAACAAAATTAAAAACAAGACCTTCAGTGGGGTATCTCTGATGATTTCAAATTGCAATCACCTTATCAGATGTTAAAGATTTAAAATCATCACCTGTGTAGAAATAAATCCACCATTAGAATTTTGTTGCTCAGTCAACCAACGAACGATTTTAATCATTTTCGTGTACTTTGGTACTGGGTCTGCTTGATAAGCGAGAAGAGCATACGCAGTAGTCTCGATGTCTTGAGCGTTTGGTCTTCTGTAAGGTATCGTCGTTTTAAGGTTATTTTCATCAGTGACCGAATCCTTTGTCCAGTACATCATATTATCTGAAAAATGTCAATCCAATATATGGATATAAATCACTCCTTGGTTCTTAGCAGTCTAATCAAAATTAGACCATTCTTTCATTCCGTTTTTTATTATCTTTTATTTTTATATAGCCACTAAAGTTAGGGTCTAAGGGCAAGAAGTCTTCTGCTCCTGGGAATATACTTTGTTTCGCCTCTCAAAATTACAGCGCTCGAGAGGGGAAATATTTGATTAGTAAAAGCAGAGGTTATCAAGTTAGGTCATAAGGTTATTGGGATGAATTTACCTCGTTTTATTGCAGCTGCTTCTAGTTTCTTAACGAGCTCTTTGTGCCAAGTAAAACCAGGTTTGTAAAGAGCAGCAAAGTAGGTGTACATAGCCAAGGCATATGAGCTGTTGGGTGGGCGATTCTTAAAACACGTTGCTCCTCTTAAGATGAAACCGTCCTAAAGTTAGTAAAATACAAAATGCAATGAATAGGTGGATGACCTGCATCAAACTTTCAAGAATAAAAACCATTATATGTAATAAGATGAAATGTATAATAATCTCTCAAAATATCTTACGAACAAAAAATGATGCAAATATTTTCAGAAACCACCCATCATGTATTGAATAAAAGTCCTTAACTCCAAGAATTGTAATCTAACTTCTGATAGTTTCTTATGACAGATGAGAGAAAGACAACAATATCATAAGACGTTTTCGTAAATCATTAAACCCATTTTTAGCGTTCTATTTGCTATCTGAAAATGTTTCCGTCAAACGTCAACATCTTAAGCTTTCTGATGTTGTCTTTTTGTGACTGAATTACTCAACATAACGAGTTTAATTCCTATGAAGAATATTCATGCACTCAAGGAAAATCATTACCGTAGGTAGCACACTCGACTCCAACATGGCGGTATAGACATAGGCGCTAAGCAGACCATCACTTCCTGCTATCCCTCCCTTCATTTCAGTGTGTAGCACTCTTCCCCGTGAGGTGATACAGCCATCAATTACTCTGTGATTACGGAGCCATCTAAAAGCAGAATCGGTAATAGCTTTGTCGATATACACAAAATCTGCTGCTTTGTGGAAACATTTAGCTACAAATGCTGTTAGCCACGTACTTCCACTGTCGTCACTCTCACCAAAAGCACTGTACGATCCATCTCCATGCCTATATCTTAATTCTCTTTGATACCCTGAAAATATAAGGAGGAATAAATACACTCAAAAAATAGCATTAGCTGTATGGAATTTCCAATTTGCCGATTTGAAAAAAGTGGCATCATACGTAACGAAAGGGTTCGCATACTCTTGTCTTCTGTTCTCTTCCACCATAGTGCTTATTATAACGGCATTCAAATCAAAGGCGTCTTTGGAATTTTGTGTTTCTACATGGGTCTTAGTTTCTTCCCTATCTTCAGTGTGAGTGAGGCGAGGGGATATTGTACTTAGTATCTAGTCTAGGATCGGACCTTTTGTATATTTCTGTATCAATTGTGATTTATATTGTAATTGTATCTAACAAGCCTATTGCAACATTGCATGGCAGGGTTGCACCCACACTTTTTTTTGCATGCATTACATTCAAACATTCTGCGAAATTAAACCAAAATGTCCTAAAGACCAAAATCTGAATTCTAAAGGTGGTATTTATCTGCTCGACTTTAACAGATTGAAATAAAAAGAAAGTATTCCCACTTTCTTTTTTTCATTAACCCACTATAATTTCATCATGCGACATAGATATATTCAGTGACATTTATGTTCAGAACCAAAACAACCCATTCTATCTTTATCTCATTATGTCTAATTCGATTGAGACTGGAATAATGATCAAAACAAAACAACTACTTCCAGTCATATGATTTATTTTAAAGTAGGAACTGAGGTATAAATAATTCAATTGCTCAATAATGAACATTTCAACACGTTGTTGAAAGTCATATAGGGAACACGGAATAGTTAACATACCCAACGGTAATTGCTGAAGAGAAGGTCAAACTAATGAATAATTACTGGGACATATATGCTCAAACCCTTAACCAATACAAAGTCTTATGTTACCAGCGAAGACGAAAGAGTTCACATTTACAATGTCTAAAGGGCATTAATCAATATTTTGGTTTCTGGTGACTCTCTTTGTGTATTCATACAGAGAAATTATAATTACCGGTAATCAACAAACCTTTGAATGGATGCACCAATGCTACACTTGAGAGAGGAAGTGCATAAAATTGGATTGTAGAGGATTTATTTATAACGAATATACGATATTTTTAAATCAACATTATTACCGTCAACGATGAACCTCTCCATAGCTCTTTTATCTAAAGAATCCATTTGTCCAGATGCTTTAGTGTATGTCATAATGAAGACATTGGGAGCAAAATTGATCATATTCTGCTCCCCACAACCATATGGTTTTTTCAACAGATCTGTAGCACTATTTAAACTGGGGCCCATCAAATCACCTGTCGATAATATGATACAATTAATAGCGTTAAATGTAATGTAAACTTTTCATACAAGTTTTTGGTAATTTATTGACTTTCTCGTCGATACATTGAGTTGAATCTGATACACATGATTCCCTTGAATATTTGCTATTATTATAGAGTATGGATTTCATCAATAGAAAACGATTGATGTGTTGAGCAATTAAGGGATAAAATACACAGCCAAATAATAACGTTCCGTGATCATTTCTGGCCAATCAGTTTATTGGCTTTAGGGCAATAACTTTAATACACGTAGTGGTAAAACCAATATAATATACTTCAGTAAAATCAATTGTGGTATCAACTATAACGAATAGATCTTTCATTTCATAGCAATTGATTTAAAGACAAGATGTTATTAATAAGGAATCGAAGATTCAAGACATACAATGTTTCTATTATGCTACTGACCTATTAATGATACAAAACCCCTTGCCGAGTCACGTACGTGATCTTTAGGTATTGGCATATCCACAAGAGATCTGTATTGGCCATTTGGAGATTCTGCAATTCAAATATCAAATGATACTTAGTATAATACGATTAAAAACTAATGAGAAAAATTGCCAATATCCGCTATAAGGATCCAATCATTCAAACTTTGTGTCGCACTTCAAACGGTACATATAAGTCTAACTAAAAAAGTATCGATAGGAAACCAGAATTGTTTCATTTTTGTGTTGTAGGCCAGTTTCTGAAAGTCCTGTTGGACTGTTCCTTCACTGTTGAATTACTGTATTATGTTACCTTCCGGACAAACCAGGCTGCTGTAAGTATACTCCTTTTCTGTTCCCTCTGGCTGAAAAAACAAATTGGAAAACATTACTGACTATATTTCAGACCTACAAAATATAGTGCAAACTGTATTTCTAAAGTACATTTATGTTTTCCATATGATAAAGTTTGAAAATATCAGTATGGATAAAAAAGAATATATATATGGATATATAAAAATAATAATAAGATAAAATAAGAAATTATTCAACATAAAACGAGACATCACAAGATATGAGCATGTCTCAACAAAGCAAGATGCTTACAAAACGAATTCTGATTTTGCGCATCTCAAAGACTTACAATGCTATACCTTAAAAATATAGCAAAAAAAATAGTTTTCAAAACGTTTAGAGCTAATAAGTCGATAGCCAATTAGGTAACATACCTCTACAAGCAGAGTTCTGATGACAGTATCTTGTACACCTACAGCATCTTCACTAATTTCAATACCGGAACATTTCTCATCCCCATTTACAGCTTCAGCCTAAATACAGAAGAAATATTTTTTTCCTAATCATAGACGGTAATGATGGACTCAAGGCAGAAAATTAAGTATCCAGATTTTGCTATACCCCAAAGTTTATCCATTCTGGTCCGCAAGCTTTCAGGATTAACACAGAAACAACCATGAAAATGCTTACGACAATTGTTAAATTGATTGAACCGATTTTCTTAGCAACTACAATGAAGTCATGGGACTTTGCTTCGCTAGAGCAGATACACAACCAGGTAACGGCACCGACATCAGGGTCTATATCTATAAACTCTGATTCTTTCAGTTCCAGTCTAATCTGAAAATAAACCAATATAATAAATTTGTTTGTATTTACTTTGTAATTATTATCAATATAAATAAATGGAATCAAATATAGTATATAGAATTTAAATTACATAGCGTCTTGAATCACATGAAACATTTAAGTGGTTAAGTTTCATTATTTGGACTGACTTATCAATGTAAAAAAAATCCTGAAACACCTGAACTAACCTGGACGCATTCTGATAAATAGTTGAAAGTTGTCACTTTAATTGGTATAAACTCCCCACGGATAGCGGAATACGGTAGATTGAAAGATGTAAAGAATGGTTGAAAAGTGGTTATAGTTGCTTCATTGGAAATTCCAATACCATTGTCTTTACTTGAGCATATTGCTGAACCAATCCATTTGGTGATCGTGTGTGGTAGTTTTTTCTTTAATACCAGTTCTCCGCTCTCACTGAACAATAATTACAGAAATGTGATTCAAACTATCATTCTGCCTCTATATCTGAAGCCTTTGAGACAAAACTCAATAGTCAATCCGCAACCTTAATGCCTGTTCATTTCGGATTTTCTGTAGCTGATGAAAAGTGAAAATTCTTTTCGCCGAAGGGGTTCGGTTGAGGCCTTAGAAGCCACGTTTTATTTCAATTTTTTTTAATTTCAATTTTTTTTCTTTCATTTTTTGTCAAATTCGCAATTAAACATTTACCTCATTAGTTAAGGCTCTGTAGGTTATTGACGAAAATCATAATACATACCCCACGATCTCAATATCCCATAACCACGTTTCCGGAAAATAGTCACGTACAGCTATCTGTTTTTTCTTTTCTGAAATATTGAGATACAAACAAACGAAGAAAGCTACAGCTATCTTGAGTTTTTATGTCAGTTTCGCGATTTTCTCGACTACCTTGTTTCGATTTGTAGATGGCTTTGATTTAGTACAATCCTCCGAAAATGGTACATAGTATCACAGAAGAAATAAGTACTATATTATTTACATGTACATTCATTGACTAACCTTTTTTAGTAGTTGATAGTTTTGGAATTTCATATTCTTCATCAGCTCCCGAAAACTCATCGTTCTGTAGATATGGTTTCTTCCATACTTCTTCACATGGTCTTGTTTCTAGTTCCAAATCTGTTACCACTACCAATCCTGCTGCCTAAAGTCAAGAAACAATAGAAAAAAGAAACTAAATACAGCAAAATCAGATGATTCATTAAGATGATGGTTTATACAATCCAATCTGGACACCACCAAAAAGGCTAAAAATACGATCCAGAACTACAATCATACCTTAAAAGCAAGGATGGAGTCAGCATGTTCAACTCTGTAGTAGAAACTATCTTCATCATCGGGATAAAATCCAGAAGCTATAATCGACACCTTCTCAATGTTATCACGTTTGATTATGTTGGGATCAGCTGAAAAAATATCGATTGCAGTCATTATTGTAGAGAATTTACTACTCATGTTAACATACTTCATTTCTGATATCAACGGCATTTTTAACACTATGCTTTTTGATAATCTAAACAGTCGAAGATAATATTCTCTATGCTTTTAACTGAGATTTTAAAAATATTGGAACATAATTTTATAATCGTTAGTTTTATTGTACACAACGTTTCAACAATTTACATTGTCATCATCATTGATTGTTGAAACGTAGCGTACAATAAAACCAAAGAGCAGTATACCATAAACTTGTGTTCCATTATTTAATGTCACCCCTAAATGTCTCTTAAGGATTAAAATAGAGTTTTTTGAAAGATGAGTATAATGACCCACTTTTATCATTCCAAGATGTTATTAGGCGCCGAGGTGGTTCATGGGTTTCCAACCATTTTTTACAATGTACTTTATCGTGTGAATAAACCGGATCTGGTGGATCGTGTAGGTCCACATTGAATATCTCAGATGATTTTAGCAGCTGGAAGGAAAAAAAATGTATTGAACATCCACTGTCTAAATCGTAATCAATAAGTCAAAGATTCATGTATCAATGAATTAATTAGACGGACACTAAATGAGCCCAGCAGCCATTATTGACTTTTTGAGATAAACCTAGGAGATAATAAGAATGAGCATTATCTCTCAACTCAACTATACCAGTTAGGTATATAATGTTTATAATGCCTGTGATGTAATACCAAGTGATGATTCTAGATAGAAACAGTGTTACCTGAGACTAAAAGTGAGTAATGAATAAACCAAAGTTTCTTATTACACTGAATGGCTGACGAGTTGATGAGAGTAGAATTAACAGACATTTGTCTGAACATGTATAATTATTTTCCATTTTTCGCCAGATATTCACTGCGAATAATTCCTCCCGGGTGTACTAGCTCGTGTACTTCAGATGGTGACTAGATCATCAAACAGAATCCAAAACGACCATAAAGTGGTATTCATCTTGGCAGAAATAATCCTTATCTTATTAGATATTTAAAATCTTCCATGACACGACTGGTTGTGTAATCAAATGTCATTGAAGAATTATCCAGAAAGCGTATTTATGTTATCATCTACGCGGATATGCCAAGGGGGTTTAATAGACGCTCTTTGGAATATACCAAGTCGCAGAGAGAGTGGTATCTTCAGCTCCAATATAACGTACCTGTGATTGGGTAATATCATTAGTATTCCCCAATAATGTTATACTTTTATCAATAACAGCTAGACCACAAATAGAGCCTGGTGCAGCTTGTAAAGTCAAAGACGTTTCATAACCAGGATATTCTTCTTCTGTACCAAATTCCATCTCTACCTGTTTAAATAATTAGATTTAAAGTTTAATTAAACATCCTAGTACATTAGTAGACTCTATCGCTCAGTGCCGACAAACTTCCATTCTTGGATGAGATATGCATTATTTTACCTGTAATGTTTACTGATTTAGCGTTTTGTTTTAGCGATTGCTATTTCTGATAAAATCGTCAGACGAAAATTGCAATTACCAGATTTCTTTCACATGGTGAAATCTTAATATCAACGTAATCGGACACCACTTCACCAAAATCTTTAACATAATACAGTATAACCTGTAACCCAGGCCACATTGCTTCTGTTATGTTGACATCTATCAGGAACATCTCTACACGAACATCACCAAACCGTCTAGCTACAGCCTGTTTTCTATATATACCTACAAAAGGCCATCAAATAAGGCATTGACATAGTCTTTTCTCTGAGAGCCGACTGTCTTTTTCAGTGTGTGTACAACATTTTCCTTTGCTTAGATGTTGTTCAAAAGGATATCGAGGTATATTACTGATATTAAACCTGTCATCAGTAGAAATGGTTTGAAAATGCGTTACATTTCAAAATTTTCAAAATAGTAACAAAGAATTGCTCACAGTCGTGAAGTTGAAAACCATCCTGGCAGCCATCTTCAACTCGATCACGTTTAGCTACTGACTTTTCTCTTGTCATTACGATTTTACCTCGGGATACCATCTACAAATGAAGATGCATACAAAAGGTTTGAAATAAATTTCATAGTTATGTTTGCGGCAAATTGGTTGGAGTGAATTATACCGGAATGGCAGACGTAAGAATTAACTGAAATGATTTTTAACCCAAAAGAAAAAATGGTAAAAAATCTCACCATAAGGTACAAACGGAATTGTTTTTCTGGGGCTTGAGTAACAGATACTTCTAGTGAAATGGTGGAGAGACATGCAGCCTTATCAGTCATTGGAGTTATTTTGAGGAAGCTTCTAGTTGGAGAATACCATGGTTCTACTACTATAGATGCACCGGGCATAGATAAGGTGTGTTCCTCGTTGATTTCTTCTCGATATTTTGCATCCAGACTCACAATCTGTAAAAGAAGCAGTGAGAAACCTTATATGATATAAAGAGGTACACAATCAGCTGTCTATGATTTTCTAATATACGAGAATGTTGTCTTGGAAAATACCCACTGATCTGAAAGTATGGGCTTAACTACCCTAAGTATTCTTTTATAAGGATATAATTTTCTGGCATCAACACCATTCATATATCACCGGTCGATGTGAGTTAGCTCAAGTCTAGTTCCTTTTACTTGTTTTCCAATGAAAGATCCAATTAATTTGGTGTTCAAACATCGTAAACCATTCTTAAAAATACATATTTTGAAAGCACAAAATTCAAGAAAAAAGACTCGAGCATAAGCATCAATGTATATTTTGTACATTAATGAGAACGGTCATATATACCTTAAAAACAATGATTGTCTGATTGGACGTCATTGCTGGAAATAGATACATTCCATATCCTTGTTCATTGGTCACTATCTCTCTGGTAAGAGATAATTCCTCAGCTCTGAGACCCAATTTGGCACCACTTACTGGTAGTCCTTTTAGATTGGTTGCTCGTACCTGTAATAATTCAGATCTATGTCTATACGGGAATTTCTAAAGAAGGGGTCGTTTTTTTATATCTGACATTTTTCAAAAGATTTTACCTTGACCAAATAAGGAAGTCCTGGTTTATAGAACGGTTCACTGTATGTCTTCATGTCCAAAAAGAGATCCATCATGCTCAGTGATGTTTTACTGGATGTTTCGTGTATTAAAATACCTACAAACAGAACATTCATTTTCAATCTTTCATATTTGAACTGTCGTGATAACCCGTCCGAAAGGAAAGCATGAGGCTTTGTGCTCAGAAACTTCATATTATATCTTATATATTATATAAATTGATGTTGGCCTGAACAAGAACCTATCCTAAATTCTGACACTAGACACCGTGGTCTATATAATTAATGAGATATGTTCTGTTATTCCATATCCTGGACAAATGAACTCGGGACTTACGATTCCTTGCAAAACAAGAACGTTTACAATCCACGGGTAAATCTAACAACGTACAACGTGAGGACCAATAATAGTCAACATTGGTTTTTACCTGTTGCATTGTCTAAAACTGAAGCTGTTGTATTTAAAACTTGATTTTGTATTGTAAATTTCTCATTCTTCAATTCTAAATGACTTGTATTCAGAGAAAACTTGTGACATCCTTCAATCTGAAATATCACTACCAATTTCAACTAATTGAATGTTATAGATCGTAGACTTCCATTGGAAGCTTGGAATTGCCTATTATTAGCTTGTAATACTGTCTATGATTTAAAAACTTTAGAGACGTTGTAAATAGCAAACTTAATACGACTGAAAAAGTTCTCTAAAGTAAGAATCATATTGGTTATAAAAATGTAATTTAATGGTGGTTTATGGCCTAAAATTTCGCTAAACAGGCTAGTAAAGATAAAATTGGATGTCGAAGCATAGCATGACTATCTGAGAGATATGTCCGATATATTACATACCTCCCCCTGGAAGTATAAACATGGTCTAGGTTGGCTAAACCGACTGTCTTCGCTTCCCTTTAGACAAATTGAGACTTTTAATCTTCCTTTAACGGGTTGTCCATAAGTATATCTAGATCCATCAAACAAAAACAAATTTACAGAAGAAAATTAAGTTCAAGGTTTTCAAAAGTAAATGGCATGTTAAACAAAATTTTCTTGTCACCTGAATTGAATCTTAAATAAGTCTTGAATCTTAAATATCGGGTTAAAGAGCTGTTTTAAACTATGACTGAATCAATCCACAATACTTACATGGCACAGACCTCGCCATTAATTGTTTCTGATTCTATTGTGATGTAGTTTGGAACAGAAAGTGTAACTTCGAATTTTGGTAAAACTGAAAAGAAAATTAAAAAGTGTGTCAGAAAATTATTAAGTTAAAACGCATATTTGTGGCTCGCGCAAACGCATATTTGTGGCTCGCGCAAACTAATGTAGATACGATTTACATGTTAATAAAAGTATTGTTATTTTAGTGTCTTGATATTCGAGATGTTTGTCATGTGAGTATTAGATTGTATGAAAGTCGGTGCATTGTGTGCAAGAGTGCTATATAAGGTTTTTATGTTTGTCATTTTGTTACTCGGCAATTGGTTACGATGTTGAGTGAATCCTATGCTAGGTGTCTTAGGATGGAATTGGTGTTGGTTAATTGATACTTCTAGGTGAATAGTATCTTTCGGTAGAATGCTTCTAGGTGTATAAGCATATTGGGCCACTACTAGGTGAAATTGGGCCTTCAGTAGAAAATGGTTATTATAGATTTATGGTGAGAATGGGTGTGCATGAGTACTCGCGTAAGTAAAACAGAATTATTTTATTCACTTAAACATTTTTTTGTGAACCTCTCCATAGGAAAGGTAAATTGTGTGTTCCAATGATTATACATGTACTCGGTTGTAAACCTCTACGCAAATATGAATATGCCAGTTGTTATTAGACGTATATTGTAATATAATTAATTTGTATTGTAGATGACAAAATGCTGTAGTTATGTTTTTGATGTATATAAGCTGTAGTTGATATATCGTTACATCATCGATAAATGTAAGATCTAAACTTACATGGGAATGAGATGGTTTTCATAAATGGTAACTTCGTTTGTTATACCAGTACACAAGGACTTAACTAGATGTCTACAAGGAAAATATTTGGATAAACTGTGATTATATTTTGTGGAGGTAGTGCGGAACTTCACTTGTGTGCGGACATTATCTTGTATGATCACTAGACATTCATTAGATATGATTTCTTACGATTTAACTATGTATGTTAATTTGTTTTGTATGTAAATATGTTAACAATTATCTTTGTTTTCCTTTTAAAGGGGGGGAAATTTAGGATCCGCTCGTCCGTCTTGTGACAAAGTGGACGGTAAATCAGTAGGCAACTTTCGGCATTGCATTTTTTTAAAAAGACAATATATGATCTAAATGCTGCCCAAAAAACAGAATTGCAGACCTTCCAATGGAATCCCTAGACTAATAATAAATTGACACCACCCAGCATATGTTAAACACAGTATAAATAATAGATACCAGCTTTTGCTATGAGAAGAACAAGCTATCCTTACCATATTCTTTGATTTCAAATGGAGTTTTCTTGATTTGGCCTTCTAACTCTGACTCAATTGACCACATTCCCAAAACTGGTTCTTTGGATATACCGAACTCCAAACTGATGAGACCTATAATATGATAGAATACATATTTTAACATAATGCTGAAAGAAATGCATTGCAGTAATATATTGTTTGAATATGACAAAGCGTACAGGTCCGAATCTGAGAGTATCCTACAGTAACAAGGCAATGAGTAGCGAGACAAAACAAAATGGTGCAAGGTTCACAGTTTATTCGATATTTGCATTATGTTCATTTCAAAAACCGAATAGAGTGCACATTCTCCAATCATTATTTCATGCAGCGTTGATAAGATAAAATATAATTGTTCAAGGGACGCAACCATAACATATCATCTTCAGTTCAGGATACACATGTTTAGTTGGTTGCATGAAAACCATGCTCATTTGTAACGTCACAAATCCTTCATTTCATAGGATCACTTGTTGAGGTGTTATGTGAAACAGCTTCACAGATATTTAACGCTAACAGATATTCTTTACAAAGCGAGCACCATGAATAATACAGTGAAGGGGTATTATGTCAGTTCTCTTTAGACGCAAGATTGTTTGCCATAAAGGGAGGCTTATGGCGAATGTCATGAGAACATCTGGACAGTTAACGACTTCTGACTGGCGATTAATGGATTTAGTGATCTAAGCGCAACAATGACTTAATACTAGACCTGAGATGTTCCTTGATAATCCAGTGATAGTAATTGCACTTCCCTAAATGCTGTAGATGATATAACCAGGGCGATTGTTTGAATCGCCAATCGACCTAAAACTGACAATCGATTAGAAACACTTTACCTGAAGGTGATGACTCATTCAACCATTGTTTCATTATAACATTATCTGGATCTTTAATATAAATCTTAGAAAACTGAAAAGAAAACATTAACGCTTAGTATACAGTATAAAAATTATCTATCTACATGAGCCATAGGCAAAACACATTACGCCACGTTTTCATGATATGATCTACTGACATAGCTCTTTTATGCGTTTAGTTGTCTGCATTTTAAAGCAGCTATCTCAATGGATGACAATTAGCACTCGAAATGTTTGAACATCTCATCTGTGATTTCCGAAATTTAAAAATAAAATCGACTGTTTCAACTAAATACAAATATGAAAAGGTGCCACAACAACGGCTTATGTTTAAATTCATTACCTCAATGTTATGTAGCCTTGTTGTATGTTGTAAAAAGTAGCCTGGACTGGAGACAAAGATGTCACCGCTAATGCTATTACCTCGTGGGGTCGTAATGGAACAAAAGGGTATAGTAGCATTTACTATACTCTAGAATTATCTGGACAGGTCTATTGTTACCTATAAGTACTTACTATAAGATTAACATCTTGGGTATTGTTAATTGAGTACTTGGTAACAATAGAAAATAGCCTAGTGTCTCCAGATGTCGGCCAAAATTTGGAGGGAAATTCAAATTATTTTCTTTGTTCAGAGCGACACCTATCGGAGGATATATATAGGACGAAAACATATTTTGGGAACTCTCGATTTGGCAAGCAAGGAGGAAGGACATAGGACACTTATTCTTTAGCTTGTGGACAAGACAGTAGCTGGGCAGATTCTAGGTTCTTGGGTAGTCCTTAGATGTTCAGATAGTCTTCAGATTTAGTGTAGAGCTCTTGTTAGTTGAATATAGTGTAAATAAAGTGTTGTTAATATCTTAGCTGTTATCTCATTTGGAAAGAAAATCCAGTTTCTTACAAACAACTATACAGTTTGTAAGAATAATCTACTTTGCAGTTTGCAAGTAGAACCCGACAACAACCCCGTTGCAGTTATATACTTACAATGGAGGTGCTTGGATTGAGATCTACATCAACTGTTAGAAGACGGAATTGGACTGAAATGAAATAAATAAGAATTGATACGATTTGTCTATGGAATGCAATATTTAAGGAATGGCCTTTTTCAGTTTATCGTTGTATAAACGCGTAGTTTACATCGATAAACAGAAAAGATGTCCAGGTCATTCCTTATAATTAAATCAACTCGAATACGTGTTTAACTATTTATCTAAAATAACAACAAACTAAGGCACAAAATTGGAGCAATGCATAGGTCACTTATTTATAGTCTACTGTCTACTGCTTGAAAGTTGACGGAGCGACCACAATTAAAGTTCAATTATTGAAAGACGAGTTCGAAATAAGTCCAAACGCTGTGTAGTGGCCACGTCAATCAAACTCAATAATAAAAGTAGTCCGTTAAGGGTCGGAGCTTATATTTACATTCCGTTTACACAGATATAAACCGAATGTACGTGGCCGCTGTTATCCAATCAAATTGCGTGATACCGTGTAAACGGAATCGTGATTTAATTATACAAATATGCATTATATTTTTCTCAAACATTTTGTGATAAGATGCTATGACTGGAAATTATTGAAAGACACGGTCGTTGGCTTTGCCTGAATGTTGAATAGTTCGAAGGAAAATGCTTTATTTTAAACTAAAATACTGTACCTGTTTGACCTGGTTTATATGCAGGTTTATCAGTTTGGACGAATGTGGACGAGGAGTCAACAACATTGAAAGAGAGGTCTCGATCAAATACAACAGATCCTTGATTATCACCAACAACATTTAAGGTGTGTATACCAAGAGGCTCGTCAGATGGTACAGTAAATTGTATACATTTTAGTCGGGCTGAAAATAAATTACACATGAGATAAAAAAAAATGATGTTAACTATATATACGTCCGGGGATGACAATTTGTGCTCATATTCAGTGCGAGATCTTAATGCGATTATGGCGCGGTTTATCAAGCGTGTACCATGATGAAAGGTAAAAGCGTTAAAGGCGAACAATAAAGCTACAAGGATATAAAATCTAGACAAACCATCGTTCGGACCTCCCCTTAATTGCCCCGTCACGCCAGAAAGTCGTTCTTACTGCCCAGAGCCAATATTTTAAGGTCGCCATAAGCGTGTAGGACAAACATTGTAACATCTACTTGAGCGGTATAAAAGCGCAATACACGTGTGGCAAAAACACTGTAAAAACGTTAGAACGCAATATGGCCGCATAACTCGTTGTTAGAGGTACTTCTTCTCTATTTTTCCTAACGTTTGACCGCGACTAGCACATTTCATGCCACTGTAAGATAGCAAACGGTTGCAGTCCAGTATGACGTGGCTATAAGAAAACATGACAGATCGATTTCTTTTGTAAATGTCAAAAAAGGGAGCCCAGAAGGCCAGTTTTCTCCATTTTACTATCTCAAACAACTTAGGACATTAAAACCTGATGCCATTGTGTGAATGGGTTTGCCAACTATTTATGTGGTATCGCTTGTCGAGCTGATTTCGCCCGCTTTTTAGAGCCATTTCTCCATTGGCAATTTCTGAACCCTAGTTTTTTTATTTTTATACAAGAATGCTTTCGCGATTTGGATGAGATATGATTCTTTTGGTAAAATTGTCTAATTGCAAATATTTCAAAAGAGCTCGGTGATTTTTGTCAGGATATCGGGTTCAGCTTACACATTTAATTTACTTTGACTTTTTTGTATGGGGGAAGGGGAGGGGGTTAAACAATAAAAAACAACACAATCGTACTATAGAGTATACAGCATACACGATACATGGTCATTTCAAACCAATAACACCCAACACGACCAGAAAACCACATCTCGCGACGGGTTCATCTTTCAATCTGAATTCTGCGACCCTGTCCTGATTCTGATAGTCTGTCCATCTTATAACCCTCTTCGAAACTCATCACATCACCTCAGCAGGGCACAAGGGAGTGAATCATTAGCCTTACTCTCCTTCATGGACAAAACAAGGTACATGAGCTTAGTCACTTCACTGATCAATGTTTCTGGTATATCGTCATTTAATCGCATTACCCTTCTGATACACTGGAAATATACATTCACGAATCCCGCCGACCAAAAAACTACCTTTCGGTGGGATTCTTACAAGATTATTTCCGAGCAGGGAGCACAAAATTTTCCAGCGGGACCAGAGATCATTATTTCACTATGTCAAATGATAACAAAGTTTGAAGGGATGGAGGGGGGGCAAACCCAGGCAAGCCTC